ATTTTGAAATTACACACTTTATTTAGAAAATATATATTTGTTTTAATTTGGAAAGAGCTGAATATAAGGATCATGATTTTAAAAGATCAGCATATGTAGGTGACATGAAAGTTCACAGCAACTGTTTTCACAAATCACCTTAACACACCGGATTCACAGATAAAGGTAAGCCTCTCTTTGGTTCATAAGGTGTTGTCCTGGAAACCATTTTGATGCAGTCGACAATAGGGCAGACACTGAGACACAGAGTACAGCCTGTACAAGTGTCAGCAATGGTGGGCAGGTGGGTTTCAGGATCAAACCGTATAGCCTGCAAACAGAAATAGAGGGTATTGATGTCACTGACCACAAAGGTCAAGAATGTCCCCATTTTAGCATGAACATTTTTCTCCACTGCAGTGGAGCTGCACTTCGAGACAAGTACGTCCAGCTCTGTGGTGCAACTATAGCAACAGTTGAGCTGACGGAGGAGGAAAAAAAGAGAGAGAAAAGAAATCCTTTTAAATTAAAAACACAATGTTTAAAATTCCTTAGGGGTATTTTTCTTCATTGTGTGAGGAAAATATGTCATAACTTAGTAACTCTCCAATTTTCTTTGTTCTGAGCAGAGCTCGGGTCTTTCCAGTTCCACCAGGTTGGGGCGTTTTCTACCTGTGGATTTTGGGAGACTTTCACACATTCTCCTTTTCCTCCTCACACTCCTAGTTCTTGACAGTAGAAAGGTGTTACTGTCAGATTCTCAGGCAATGAATACATTTGTTTGGATTTCAAATAATGCATGTAGTTTTTAGAAGAAAGCAGTAGAAAAAAAATTAGCTTAACAGCCAGCTTTGAGTTTTGGAGATTTCCAAGCTGACTCTAGTCACTGTCCACCATGAAGGGGAACAAGCACTGAATGGAGAGCCAGGACAACTGGTGTCCTGTCCTGGCCGTTACTGAGCCAAGAGAACCATAGCCAGGCCTCCGGCTCTGAAACTAGGATTTTTCAGAAATTTTATAATTTTTCTTCCCCCGGTCTTCCTTTATTCCTCCTCCCCTCTCCCCCCTCCCCTCCCTTCCTCTTCCCTTCCCCTCTCCTCTCCTCCCCTTCCCTTCCCTCCCTCCTTCTCTGAAACTGCTTCAGGTTTTAACAGATTTTACAATTTTCCTTCCCCCTGTCTTCTTCTGTTTCTTTCCCTCCTTCCTTCCTCCCTCTCTCCTTCCTTCCGTTCCCCCTTCCTTCCTTCTTGCCTGCCTGCCTCCCTCCTTCCTCTCTTCCTCCCTCTTTCTTTCCATGATGCAATGTAGAATAAGCAATTAAAAATACCTAGTTTGAATTTAGAATTGAGATTTTTTTTGAGGATTGAAGAAGATATGATGATTATTTTCCCATTAAAGAGAAACATTTCAATAGTGAAAATGACATGTAAGACCTAGCAGAAGTTACAGGATTTCTATCTAAGAGGGATTTCAGGGCAGCTATTGTAGGGGTAGATCATCGTGTCAGAGGGATTTAGGAAACTTGCCTGGCAATCTCACTTGAAAAATAAATACAGTAGTTTTACTCAGACTGTATACTAATTTGAAGTGACTAAGTCAGAGCTGAGGAAATTATAAGGGACATTAAGTGTCTCCCCACCCCCAAAGTACCCCTTGAGGCCAGGCCTGCAAATCTTACATTTATAGGTAATTCAAGATTCTGATTTTTTTCCTGTCTCATACCAATGTTATAATCCAAATATATATATATATATGTATATTTGTATATACATATATATATATTTGCTGTTTAAAAAATTCCCTCCCCCAGATGAAGCTACATGTAACCATATTTTTATCTCTTTTATGCACATATAAATGAAAATAATATTTTCAGAGAGTAAATCATGACAGTTTCTTAATTTTTTTTTTTTTTTTTTTTTTTAAGACGGAGTCTTGCTCTGTCGCCAGGCTGGAGTGCAATGGCGCAATCTCTGCTCACTGCAACCTTCGCCTCCTGGGTTCAAGCGATTCTTCCGCCTCAGCCTTCCGAGTAGCTGAGATTATAGGCGTACACCACCACACCCGGCTAATTTTTGTATTTTTAGTAGAGACAGGGTTTCACCATGTTGGCCAGGGTCGTCTCTATCTCTTGACCTCGTGATCCGCCCGCCCACAGTGCTGGGATTACAGGCGTGAGCCACCGCGCCTGGCTCTTAATTTTTTTAAAAGTCTGGTCTTTAAGGAAATAAACATATATTTCAACAAGATCTATAGCTATAGCAAGTCATGAGAATATCTGTCCACACAAATTGGTGCTATGTTCTGTAAAACAACATTTCAAGTTGCTGTTTGGATGAATAAAAACGATTTCTCTTCCTTATGTACCCTTTTATATAAATGGAAACTCAATGAAGTAACTGATAAAAATTAATACTAATGCTTAGAAATATACTTTGAAAATCTGCAAACATATTCACAAACATATTTACATTCATTTAAAAATTTTGATTTTCTGTTTTTATCTTCTGAGACAGAAGAATCAAAGGACTATCTAGGTCTTTTAAAATGCATAATTGTGATTTTCATTCTCATTACTGAGGATATTTTTGCTGAAGTTGTACCAAGTCTAGAATTCCACGATGGGAGCCATAAGTTCTAAGATTTAAGATATTAGAGAGCTGATGCTATGATAGTTACAGGATTTCTTGATCTATCACTGATTGTTAATTGGAAAGATGACATGAAAGAAATGTGATATGATTAGTATTTAAAAATAACTGTTAAGACAACTTTTAGCTAGAAAAAAGTGATAAATTGAGTAAAAATTTGGTGTAAAACTGTAAAATTAGAAAGAAAAATTAATAGTTTTTAAAATTAAAATGTGATATGTCATAAGAATATGCAAAATCCCACCATGAGCAATATGGAATCTGCCCTTAGTTTGAATAAGGTACATAAACTTCTCTTTTTAAAAATGGGGACATTTTATTATGAATTTAGAACATTCCATTGATTATTTCTTAAAAATATCTTTTTTTTTACTTAATCACATTTTATTACAGCTTGAAAAATACAATAAAATAATATTGCATAATTTTTAGAAATTTTTAATAGTTTAGTAGCTTTCCAAAATTTTAAAATTTCCTTTCTCCAAACTCTGTATCATAAGGAATTCTCTTACTTTCACAATAAATCAGGCTTTTGACAAGAAACTTATGTGTAAAACTATTGTTGTGATCAGTTTTTCATTCATTTCTAAAATTCAACCAGTTGAAAGTCATAGTTGTGCTAAACTCTTTAAAAAATAGCAGGTTATAAATATATAGGAAGTAAATGAAGAAGCAAATTGAAAGTCAAAAAGAAATTCACAGAATGTCTTTTCAAGAGAATTGCTCACTGGAAAGAGTGAAATGCCCAATTTTTCTTTTGCCCCCACCCCTGTCCTGTGGTAGACTTTCTGCTGAGGGCTAAGGAACTGAAAAGTAGCTATAGCTCATTTCCTGAGGGAAAATACATCTCTTTGGCTTTTCCAGCTTCAGAGGAATTCCTAGGACCAACTTACACAACTAGTTGGTGGGAAAGTGCTTCTTTCTGACTGTAGTAAAAGCCTAATCAATACTGAATGGAAGAGAACTCCCTTTTGGTAGAAGGAATCATTCTTTCAGCATAATGGCAATACATGGTAGTTCTTTTCTCTTTCCTCTGTATTAAAGCATAATGCTTTCCTAGTATTCACAATTTTGTGTGCATATCTCTTTTCAGTTGGATTTCTCCCTCCAATGTTGTGGGTAATGAAATGATATAAAAATAATTCTGTACAGTTAATGCTGGCATAGTTAGTAAAAGTTACTACTTCCCTTTAAAAAAAAAAAAGACCATGCTACAAGGGTGACAGAAGGAGGTACTGTTGCAGAAGAGCAATATTTGGCACCACTGGTTTAAATTTCACACTTAGCAACAGAAGATGCTTTCTGCCACAAAAAACAGAAGAAACATGTCTCATAGCATTCTAATTCCAGCAGAATTCTTACCTGGTAGCCAGAATCATTACAGGTCATGTAGCATTTACCACAGTTGATACACATTTCTTCATCGATCACAGCCACAACATGCTCTACACTGCTCAATTCACCAAACGTTCCAAGGTATGGCAGTGCTTTTCCTATTACATCCTAAAAATAGTCACTGAATTACTCAGTATGCTCACTTTAAAACATTCTCATGTAATAATAACACTCAACACTTTCCTGTTTTTATACAATGTTGCATTATATTAACTTGGGAGACTTTCGATAGCATAATTCTCATAGATAAGCTTTTTATGATAATTATAGCTTAGATGTTTGTCTTCTGAAAGATGGGTAATAGGCATGCCTAGTTTAGAAATACAAGACCTAATTAACTACATTCAACAGGTTTTTGACTAGATAATTGAAAACAGGATTTCTGTGTAAAGAAAGAATCAATGACATCCGTTTGAGTTGTTGTGGCTTACTTTTTCTCATTTTTGGACCTTGAAGAACCAAAAGTAATCCATAGTGACAAAGGGCAATACACTATACTAGAAAACTTTGGATTGCTCAGAATGAGGGGAATACTAGTGTGAATGTTATGCATTTATATCACTGTATGTGGACTTTAGATTTTCTTTTAGAAAGTGCTTTGATAGCATACGCACCTGTCATGTCTTGAAGAGTATATGACATTATTTAAAAATTCCAATTTATGTTAATTAATTAGGTTGATCCAATAGTTAAGTCAGATGCTCTTTTACTTTTAAAGAACTAGAATTTTCTTCATTCATCATTGAAGATCTTTCATGTGGTTACACATTGCTTTGTTCTTCATACTAATTGGAAGTGTGCTTAATATGTGAAGCACAGACTATGTTTCATCAACAATAAAAAACACTTTGCTTCGTAAAACAAAACAAAAGAATGTAGCAATGTCAAATTAGCATGCTGTCAAGATTTTTGCTTTTGCTTTTAACTATTGAAATGAGAATCTTGTTTGAATTCAAGGTCCATGTTCAAGGAGGTTTGACTCTTACTTGAAACCATCTTTCCATATTCTCTCTGGTATTGCATTTTCTGCTCTTCTTTTAATAATCTTGTGTACCCTTCTTTACGTTTTTTTCCTATTTGATCTCTACATTACAGTATACTCATTATCATGGAATTTCAAACTGAGACAAAGTTTACATTTTTATACAGTTCCTTTCTTTGTGTATCTCCCAAGTGATAAGATGCTAGAAAACTTCCAATACTGTCTTCCCTATTTTCTTTTTAATGTGTTGAAGTTATAATTTCAACTACATTGCTGTCTATTTGTAGGTGGGCACTAGATATCCAAATCAATATCTCCATTCTGAAATGTTCTCATAAACTCAAGATCTACATTTATCAGCTGCATATTGAGCACTGTCATTAGAGATTGGTACTGCAAATTCATTACTCACTGAACTTATCATCAACACAAACTGGATCTTTCTTTGTATTTCTTTAGTTTTGTGGATGGCATTTAAGATTTTTCCAATCATGGGGTCTTGGAATTTCATAGTAAATGTTTCACTACATAACTTTCTCCAATATCTCCTATCTGTTGCCTAGTTTAGTTTCTGGTTCTGCAATATCTTTTGAATCCTTTACATGTTTACTGCCATCTTCAAGTGTTATTAATTAATTTCTCATTATTTTTAATGCAACTGTAAGGAACTACTTCATAAGTTTCACCCTCACGTTCTTCCTTTCCCACTCTACCCTGTGCAATGCTGTCATCTTAATCTAGGATGTAAGACACAGACTAAATCTCTCACTACCTTATTCAAAAATCTGTTGAATTAGGCACAGGATTACCATGCTGGCATTTAAGGCTTTCTGCAAACATGTCTTTTTCTATCTTATTTCTCAGTTTCAAACACCATGCACTTCAGCTACACTGGAGGACACTCTTTTCAACTGACCCATATGAGGTCTAATATTAAGTCCTCTTTCTAAAATACCCGTCATTCCTAACTCCACTTTGCAAAATCTTAAGCATCCTTCAAAGACATCTCAAATGCCATTACTTCATGAAGATTTCCTTAATCATTCCTTCTCCTTTCCTATCCAAATGTGAGAATGTGATCTCTCTTTCTTCCTCTTTCACTCTCTTCTTTCCTCACCTTTTCCTCGTTTCCTTGCCCTCTCTCTTCCTCTTTATTAAAAATTATTTTGACGACCTATGGTATTTTATCTATTATGTGGATCTAATGACAACAGATACCTCTTGAGTCCTTAATATATTTCAGGCCAGTGCCATATTTTTTTTACACACTTTCTCACTTAATACTCATGAATTTAATAGTTGATGATGTGACTGAGATTTAAAGTACACAATTAAGTAAATCATAAAGCAGGGATTCAGAATCAGTGTTGCCTGACTTCAAATACCATGATCATCAGCACTCTGCTATGCTGACTCATTTGTTATTCTCTATTTAGCAAATTCTAATTCATTTATGGATATTTTCTGCATTTAGCTTCCTATGTTGTGGTCTCTTAGTAGGCTTTATTCATCTTTGTATCTCGTGTGGTGTATCTTGTTTTTGCAGATCATTAAAACATTATGGGTACTCAAATATTAGTTAAAATAAATATAAATTTTATATATCTATACACTAAACATATAATATGGTAGTAGGCACATAGTGGGATGAAGTAATAGCTACTTTACTGAACATTTTTATTGATATGAATAATTTAAATACAAAATAATCATAGTCAAAGTATTCGGATATGTGTAATATTTCCCAGTACCATTTTAAAATAACAAATGCAAGAGGTCACTATCTGGCTGTAAAAGGTTATTTATATGTGATAGAAAATAATTTTTTCAACCTAGTAAATTAATCAGCTTAAATACTTGTTTCACTGAGTCAGATCATGATGACTAAAATCATCAATAAATATTCAAAAGATGATTACACAAGAAACTCCCTAAGCAGTCAGCAAGGGTATAAGGCTTCTTCAAAAGAAACATTATATATGCCTCAGAAATTTTCATGTGGAGCGAGTCCAGATTCTGTGTACATTAAATCTGCCTTTTACTCATATTGGAGGTTTGCTGTTGTCATTTATCAAAACATCGCTGTTTAATGTGAAACCAATGTGGAGCCTCTAGAAGTTATTAGCACATGGTGTTAATAATTCATCCCTTACTCATTATAGTTTTTAAGAAAATTGTATTTATTTCTTCATCTAGAAGAGGATAAAAAAATGACAACTATTTTAAATCATTTTGGGACAGAGTAGGAAAAAAAAAAAGAATCATTCCATATGGTTAAGAATATGGACATTCGTTTAAAACCCAAAGCCGCCAGGTAGTACTACCAGCTTATGAATACCCTTGAGTAAACGTCCTGGAATCTGGAGTTGGCTGAAAGATGCATTAAATCAGTAAATTACATATGGCTAGTCTAGTCCCTCTTGGACACACATCTGTGGAGATCATGGAACCCATATTCATTATTCCACATGGAGTTTGGATGTACAAAGGTTCAGCAGTATGTTGGAGCCATCCCTGATTAATGGAAATGTTTATATGTGGATATATATGTGGAGAAAGCAATGTTAAATCATTTAATAATGATAACATTTAATTTTAATGTAGGTATTCAAAGAATTGATGTTGCAAAGTACTACAGAATTCCAAGATAACATTTTTGTCAACTTATTACTTGTTTGGGATAATAAAATTCTTTATTTTTTTATTTTTTATTTTTTGAGAAAGAGTCTCACTGTTGCCCAGGCTGGAGTGCAGTGGTGTGATCTTGGCTCACTGCAACCTCTGCCTCCTGGGTTCAAGCAATTCTCCTGCCTCAGTGTCCTGAGTAGCTGGGACTACAGGCATGCACCACCACATCTGGCTAATTTTTATTTTTATTTTATTTTATTTATTTTTTTTAAAGATGGGGTTTCACCATGTTGGTCAGGCTGGTCTTGAACTCCCGACCTCAGGTGATCCACCCGCCTTGGCCTGCAAAGTGCTTGGATTGCAGGCGTGAGCCACCACGCCCGGTCAATTTTTGTTATTTTTAGTAGTGACGGGGTTTCACCATATTGGCCAGGATGGTCTCAAACTCCTGACCTTGTGATCCGCCATGTTGGCCTTCCAAAGTGCTGGGATTACAAATGTGAGCCACTGCACCCGGCCTAGTTTTTTTTTTTCTTTTCTAAATAGACCAGTCAATGTTTCTATTTGATATAAAGTTTAAGACCAAAGAGTGAGGAACTAGAGAGCCCTGATTCTGTCCCTGATGTTTCATTCTGAATTTATTATGACTAATAAGAATTTATTAATTGTGGCCTATTTTTAATAGTTGATTGAAGGATTTTCAAACTGTGATTATCTGGCATGATAACAGTTCTTTCTAGTTTCAAGTTTTCACATTTGATTAGCACATATCATATCACTTTCTACTGCATGCCTGTAGCTCTCACACAATCATAAAGTAAAAAAAAAAAAAAAAACCCTCCTAAGATGAACCACTGTAATTCAGGACCATCTGCACTTACTACAACTCCTGCAAGTAAGTGTCCTTCAAAAACCAGGACCCAGGAGAGCATGCTGTGGGCAGTCACTATGACTTCTAACCTAAAAACATTCAATATTTAAATTACTTGGATGTAGCTATTTAATCGTTTAACTATTTCCTTATCTGTACCATTACCAACGTCATATCTTTTTATGCTTTATTCACTTCTTCCCTAGTAAATCTTTCAAAACAGAAAATGAGATAATTTGGTTTGCTCTTAGCAAATTTTTGCTGATTTAACTTCTTCCTTTACTAATGCTCCCGAGTCAAAAGCTGAATGACCTTTGTAGGATTCCTTTGGGGTTAGATATCAATCTTTCTGGCCTGTTGCCATCTTTTCCCTACTACCTCTAGCACATCCACCTTTTTCTTTGGTAAAGAACCTGGAGCAACATTTATTTTTCATCAGTGTGGTATAATGATCTCTTACAAAAGTACTTAAAAAATATAGCAAGCACCTTATTCTGGATAGTCTACATGTACCCTCTTAGCAGAAGGCAGATAGGGGTACTGTACAGTAAGAAAACAGGACGTCTTGATGTTAAATTTGGTAGAACTCTAATAACTAAGGACTCAGCTTGAATATGTTGAGAGTAG